ACTGCAAACATTCAGCTCAGCCAAAGAGGTCTCAGAACTGTGTGGGTTGGAGGGAGCTTAAAGGCCACCTATTTCTAACCTCCTTGCTGTGGGCTTCATCTCACATCTGGTTTAGGAGAAGTAGAGGCTGAGAGTAGGATTTTCCCCTATTGCCAAGGATTTTAGTGTGATTGAATGTAATGTCTTTAGGGAGAAGTATGTTTTTTTTCCCCTATTTTCTTGTTGTGGGGCTGCTGTGATATTTCCTCCCACCCAACTCTTCCCCAACACAACCTGTTAACTGAGAAGGTACCACTGAGGAATGCTGCAGAACTTCATGCTCTGCAAAGCAGAAATAACCAACTGCAACCTGTTAGAGACCTTTAGCAATAAGCTCTTTATGTAGCAAATAGAGACCTGGAGACAGACACAGACAAGGAGGGGGAGATGTTTATAACACTTACTTTCCATTAGAGCTTGCCTTGTCCCTAGCTTGGACACCAGAGGGTCTTGCCTCTCATTAAGAGCTGTTTGTGCTGTTTGCATGATGCAAGGTGCCTCAAGGGAGCAGCCAGGACCAGTTATTCCCAATGGGAAGGTGAGCTGGGAGCTGAAAGTGACCACAAAGCAGAGCACGGTCCCCTTGTGCCTGAGCACAGCAGCAGCTTCCACTGCTTCTTCCCTTAGTTTCCCAGAGTAAACTAAGAGTCAAGTTCATGGTTGTAACAGACCAGGAGCAAGCCCAGTTAAAGCAGAGCCCTGGAAGTGGGCCCAGTTCCAGGACTGAGCTTAAATAGAGCCTGAGCCTATGGCAGAGGGTGTGTGAGAAGGACCCAGGTGATGCTGGCCATGGCAATTACTGTGGCTGCACTCCCTGATGTCTCAAGGAGAGGGGAACAGCGTTTTCCACCACCCAATGCCCTAAACACAGCGGCAGCTCTGCATTCAGCCTCCTCTGATGTATTCCTGTGTGCAGGGGATGAAAGAATGGAGCAGAAAGTAGCGAAGAGCTCCTTTATTGTGTTAATGAGAATCATCCTTCCTTAGTTATGCAAAATCATGGAATCATGGAATGGTTTGGGTTAGAAGGGAGCTTAAAGCTCATCCAGTTCCAACCCCAACACCTTCCACTGGAGCAGCTTGATCCAAGTCCCTGTGTCCAACCTGGCCTTGAACACTGCCAGGGATGGGGCAGCCACAGCTTCTCTGGGCACCCTGTGCCAGGGCCTCAGCACCATCACAGGGAAGAGCTTCTGCCTTAGAGCTCATCTCAGTCTCCCCTCGGGCAGGTTAAAGCCATTCCCATTGGCCTGTCCCTACAGGCCCTGATGAAGAGTCCCTCTCTTATTCTATCTGAATAAGTTGCTTCACATGTTGTGTTCTCTTTTCTTGAGGGAATTGTCCAAATGTCTTTATTTTTCATGAAAACTCCATCAGAAACTTTGATTAAAAGCTTATAAAGTGAGCATTTCACTTCACGCCAACTTAAATTAGATTTTGACTGGTTGCCATTGCATTCATTCATTATTCATCACAGTTCTTTGCAGAAGACCATGATTTCCAAAGGTGCTTATTTTAAACCACAAATTTATTCAGTTTGTCATTATACAACTACATGTTCTTCCAGTAATTGTACAGTTCATTAAACAGAAATGGTGTGTTTGGATTAAATGTTAAAACCCCTCCATCTACTGTTTCATTTAGAGCATCTTCCCCCTCAATAATGTGATGACATACAGAAGGGGATGTGACATGGTCAAATCCACAAAGCACAGACCTGGTACTGAGCATCCAGAAAGGAAAAGATGTAAGGACCAGACATCCCAGGAAGATTTTAGTTGGGACACACTTCTGGCCACATGCTAACCTATGTGTGCCTCTCACAGGTCCTTAGCACTGCTCCAGCTCGCTTACACGGGATAAAAGTATTGGATGCTCATATCAGGTATCACAGAGTCCCAGACTGGTTTATGTTGGAAGGAACCCAAAAGCTCTCAACTTCCAACCCCTGCCACAGGCAGGGATCCCTTCCACTAGAGCAGTTTGCTCCAACCCCTGTGTCCAACCTGGCCTTGAACACTGCCAGGGATGGGGCAGCCACAGCTTCTCTGGGCACCCTGTGGTGGCACCTCAGTACCCTCATAGTGAAGAATTCCTTCCTCACGTCCAATCTGGATCCCCTCTGTTTCAGTCTGAACCCACCACCCCTTGTCCTATCCCTACAGTCTCTGATGAAGAGTCCCTCTCCTGCATCCTTGTAACCCCCTTCAGACACTGGAAGCTGCTCTGAGGTCTCCAAGCAGCTTCTCTTCTCCAGGCTCAACAGCCCCAGTGTTCTCAGCCTGGCACCATACGGGAGCTGCTCCAGCCCCTGATCATCCTTGTGGCCTCCTCTGGACTTACTCCAGCAGCTCCATGGCCTTCTTATGCTCCCTGCAGAGAAGGACTTGGGGGTGCTGGTCGATGTGAAAATGAACATGAACCAGCAGTGTGTGCTTGCAGGCCAGAAAGCCAAGTGTATGCTGGGCTGCATCCAAAGGAGCATGACCAGCAGGTTGAAGGAGGTTAGACTGCCCCTCTACTCTGCTCTTGTGAGACCTCACCTGGAGCATTGTGTGCAGTTCTGGTGTCCTCAACATAAAAAGGACATGGAACTGTTGGAACAAGTCCAGAGGAGGCCACGAGGATGATCAGGGACTGGAGCACTTCCCGTATGAAGACAGGCTGAGAAAGTTGGGGCTGTTCAGCCTGGAGAAGAAAAGGCTGCGGGGAGACCTCATAGCAGCCTTCCAGTATCTGAAGGGGACCTATAGGGATGCTGAGGAGGGACTCTTCATTAGGGACTGTAGTGATAGGACAAAGGGTAACGGGTTCAAACTCAAACAGGGGAAGTTTAGGTTAGATATAAGGAGGAAATTCTTTCCTGTGAGGGTGGTGAGGCACTGGAATGGGTTGCCCAGGGAGGTTGTGAATGTTCTATCCCTGACAGTGTTCGAGGCAAGGTTGGACAGAGCCTTGGGTGAGATGGTTCAGTCTGAGGTGTCCCTACCCATGGCAGGGGGGTTGGAACTAGGTGATGTTAAGGTCCTTTCCAACCCTAACTATTCTATGATTCTAGGATTCTATAGACACCAAAACTGTATCAGAACTGCAGGGGATACCAGAGCTGTATTGAACCTTTGGCCCTTCCCTCAGATCTTCAAGCTTGCTTGGGATGAACAGTTATCAACCAGCAACGGAGAAAGTGGTCACTGCCTTACCTCAAGGCCGAGCCTCCTTTTTGTGGGAACTACTTTCATTTAGCACAATTCAAACACAAAAAAACATGGTGCTGTCTCAGTCCTGCTATTAAATAACTGATACTTATTTGGATGAATTATTGAAGACTCAGTCCACACTTAAAATCACCTGAAGCTGTTTGAAGGAACCATTCATTCCCCAAACTCCTTCTGGCTGCATCAACACCTCCAAGACCAGTTCTCCTGCAGAGACCTACCCAGGAAGAAAGGCCCAGGAGACTTTGCTTTGTGTTTCCCCATCTATCACATACCCCTTTCTTTCAGTGTTTCCCTGAGGAAGCCCCTTACATCCACAGGGATCATCTAATATTGCATTGAATGGAGCTGAAAACAAACACAACGAAGCATCCTCTGTGTGGATGGTTTGTGCTGGTCATGGGGAGTCCTTTCCATCACATGCATTTATTTCCATACAGTTGACTAGTGATTGTACACCATTTTGGTCAAACGCATTGGCTCAAAACGTGGCTGCTTTGAGGATATATCAAGGTGAAGTCAGATTTCCCAGTCTTCATCTGAAGAATCCTGAGTGCCGGTGTGTCCTGAATGCTTCTCCTAGATGAAGAGACATTACAAAACTCAAGATACCCAGACAAGCAGCACCTTGGGTGTTCAGGGGTGAGGAAGACCCCTAATCCTCCCTCCCACCTGCACTCAGGCTCTTTACACCCCTACTTAAATTCTCGGCAGAGCAGAGGCTCAGATATGACTCGTCCCCATTTAGCACAAGGGCTTTGTTGACCAACAGACTGTCAGAGCTTTATTTCTGAGAATCCCAGCCTGGTTTGTGTTAGAAGGGACCTTAAAGCTCCTCCAATTCCAACCCCTGCCATGGGCAGGGACACGTTCCACTAGAGCAGCTTGCTCCAAGCCCCTGTTTCCAACCTGGCCTTGAACACTGCCGGGGATGGGGTAGCCACAGCTCTCTGGGCACCCTGTGCCAGCGCCTCAGCACCCTCCCAGGGAAGAGCTTCTGCCTAAGAGCTAATCTCAGTCTCCCCTCTGGCAGGCTCAAGCCATTCCCCTTGGCTGTCCCTACAGGCCCTTGGCCAAAGCACTCCTGCAGGTTTGTTGTAGTCCCCTTCAGACACTGGAAGCTGCTCTGTGGACTTTAAGCAGCTTCTCTTCTCCAGGCTGCACAGCCCCAATGTTCCCAGCATGGCCCCATACGGGAGGTGCTCCAGCCCCTGAGCATCCTTGTTGCATCTCTGGACTTGCTCCAGCAGCTCCACATCCTCCTTGTGGTGGGGACACCAGAGCTGTATCAAATCCTCTTGACCTTCCACCAGTTCATCACTGAGGAAATGCTTATAAATCAGGCAATGGAGACGGTGGTCAGTGCCTTACCTCAAGCCTGAGCCTCTTTTTTGTGGGCACTACTTTCATTTAGCACAATTTAGACACAAAACAGATGGTGCTCTCTCAGGCCTGCTATTAAATACCTGATACTTATTTGGATGAATTACTGAAGGCTCAGGCCTCGCTTAAAACCATCGGAACCTGTTTGAAGAGAACCATTCGTTGTGCTGCTTCTCCATACCCTGCACTTGCTGTAATAATGACCAGTAGTGAACAATAATGACCAGTAATGGCCAGTAATGCTCAATTCCATAATCACAGATTTCGCATATTCCTTCCTTACCTCCACAGTACTGAAGAGCTCCAAATGTTCTTTCAAACCCTGCATAGATATGGCAGCAGCTTTTGCTCCCACAGCCTCCTCAGAGCCCCCTTCACCTCCTTGTTCCTCAAGCTGTAGATGAAGGGGTTGAGGGTTGGGGTGAGGATGCAGTAACACACCGACACCAGCTTTGCCTGATCCCATGAGGATGCCTCATGATGCTGGACGTAGGTGAGGATCCCGGGTGCGTAGAAGATGGTGATGGCAGCCAAGTGGGAGGCGCAGGTAGAGAAGACCTTCAGCCTCCTCGTGGCCAAAGGGATCTGCAGGACGGTGTGGAGGATGTAGGTGTAGGACACCAGCATCATCAGGAGAGAGACCATGACGTTAAACACAGTGTTGTAAAAAAGCAAGACCTCATTTGTGCTTGTGTCTGAGCAGGAGAGCTGCAGGAGGGTGGGCAGCTCACAGAAGAAGTGGTTGATGCTCCTGGCCTGACAGAAGGACAACCTCCCTGCCAGCGTGATGTGCACCAGGGAGGTGAGGAACCCGATGCTGTACACCAGCACCATCATGCCATAGCAACGCGCCCTGGTCATGGTAGTGGTGTAGAGCAGGGGCTTGCACACAGCCGTGTATCGGTCGTAAGCCATTACCCCAAGCAGGAAGGTCTCACAGATAGCCAGAGCCAGGAAAATATACATCTGAGCAAAGCAACCCCAAAAGGAGATGTGGCTTCTCCCCAGCAGGAAGGTCTCCAGAGCTTTTGGGATGATAGCAGAGGAAAGGCAAACATCCATGCAAGATAAGTGGCTCAGGAAGAAGTACATGGGGATGTGGAGGTGGGGGTCAGTGTTGATCAGCAGGATCATCGTCAGGTTCCCCAGAACTATTAAAACATACAGGGACAAGAAGACTGTGAATATGGTGGTTTGTAGCGCTGGGGCATCAGAAAAACCCAAGAGGACGAAGCCAGATAGAACAGTGAGGTTTCCTGTATCCGTCATTTCAACAAGTTGATGGATTTAGATTTAAATGAAAGCAATCAGTGAAATAAACCTTTAGAAGAGAAATAATGTGGAAATTTAGTTGAAGTTTAATCCATAAAGTAAATGCAATAGAAAATGGTGTATTTGTAATGCTTTACTTCTGTGTGTAGCCCAAGATCTGAAGTCAAAGTGGTGAAGGAGCTCATTACACAACCTGAAATTAAAAGAGAATAATTCTACCATGATTGATATACACTGCACAACTGATACACTGAGAAACATCACGTCTATCAAAGTATAATACAATAAAATCAAATAAATACATCTCAAAATGTGGAAAACAGAAAAGATTTTGTATTTTCTTCACTGATTTCTGGGAATTTTAAAGTTTTTTTTTCTCTCTTTTTTGTATTTTTCACAGTGGATTAGTACTCTTCTGTAGCTTCATTGCTGTTGCTGCATCATTTTCATCACAACACAAAGCCATGTACTTGAAATTTGGTTTACATTCTAAGTTTATTGGCTTTTGAAGAACCCCCACCATCCATAATGTTAAGGGAAAGCAGTGGTCTTGGCTCCAGCAGAGCTTTGCTGTCATTGCAGCGAGCTGCCTATGACCAACCTAAATATGCACCTAAGGGTGTAAAATATATCATACATAAACCAAAATTTTAAGGCTTTAGCTTGGATATTTTCATCTCCGCCATTCAATTCCTCTGCAGATGAATTATTTAATGGAATATCAATCTATGAACGGCTACATCACTGCAAAAATACCCCTAAATCTGTTGTAGTTGGGGTGAGGAACATGGGTTTTTCAACCAAACCCACCCTGTATTAGGGCACTATTATTCACACCACAGACTATCATAGAATGCTTTGGGTCGAAGGGACCTTAAAAGTCATCCAGTCCCAACCTCCTGCCGAGAACCCCCACACTGCATAAGGTTAAGGGAATGCAGTGTTCTTGGCTCTAGCAGAGCTTTGCTGTGATTGCAGTGAGCTTCCTATGACCAAACCAAATATCCACCTAAGGGTATACAATACAAAATATACCATATATAAACCAAAATTTTAAGGCTTTACATTGGATATTCTCATGCTAAAATATCTCTAAATCAGTTGTAGATGGGGTCAGGAAGGTTGGTATTTTTGAAGCAAACCCCATACTTGGGGCACTTCTATTCACACCGTGGGCTATCATAGAACGGTTTGGGTTGAAGGAAAATTAAAGCTCAACCAGCTCCAACCCACTGCCATTGGCAGGGACCCCTTCCACTAGAGCAGCTTGCTCCAAGCCCCTGTGTCCAACCTGGCCTTGAACACTGCCAGGGATGGGGCAGCCACAGCTTCTCTGGACACCCTGTGCCAGCGCCTCAGCACCCTCACAGGGAAGAACTTCTTCCTTATCTCCAACCTGAATTTCCCTGTTTCAGTTTAAACCCATCACCCCTTGCCCTATCAATACAGTCCCTGGAAAAGAGTGAAATTCAACATGCCATCAAGCATATGAGAGGCAGCATGACCAGAGTCAAACTGGACACATCACCCATCAAACCCTTTTGTACCTGCTTGGTTAAAGAGGAAGGTAGTGGTGGATGCAGTGCCTGCAGCTCCTCCTGGAGACCATGCGATGGGTTGAAGGAGAGATGCCTGGGAGCAGGATGCTCCAGGCTGGCTGGTGGAGGGGTTTTATCTCACAGGAGGCATTACCTCAGAGGCTTGTGTTGTGCAAACTGCTCTCCCAAAGGACCCTCCTCCATCGGATAATTAGTTTGACTTGATCAGCAAAACAACCTCTCAATTCCTCTCTCCCCAAACTCCTTCTGGCTGCATCAACACCTCCAAGACCAGTTCTCCTGCAGAGACCTACCCAGGAAGACAGGCCCAGGACAGTTTGCTTTGTATTTCCCCATCTATCACATACCTCTTCCTTTCAGTGTTTCACTGAGGAAGCCCTTTACTTCCACAGAGATCATCTAATATTGCATTGAAGGGAGCTGGAAACAAGCACAACAAAGCATCCTCTCTGTGTGGATGGTTTGCGCTGGTCATGGGGAGTCCTTTCCATCACATACATTTATTTCCATACACTTGACTAGTGATTGTACAACACTTTGGTCAAAAGCACTGGCTCAAAGCGTGGCTGCTTTGAGGATATATCAGGGTGAAGTCAGATTTCCCAGTCTTCATCTGAAGAATCCTGAGTGCCCGTGTGTCCCGAATGCTTCTCCTAGATGAAGAGACATGATAAAACCCTTAGGAAAAATACTAAATGATAACCTTGTCCCAGACATCTAGAAAACACAAAGGATGGGGCAATCAGGGGAGAAAATTGAGCTATGAAAGTGTGGGGAAGGAAGAAGAAGTACACAGGTGGCTTTAGATGTTTTCAATGTCAACCCGTTTTTCTGCTAGAAGGCACCAGACTGACAGTCCGGGAGATGCATTGGAGGAGGGTAGAAAAGGATTTCTGTGTGGTTTTGAATGTCTTTCTTCCCCATTGGGTAGTGGGCTAAACCGAAGTCTTGTGAAGTGGGGAAATCAGTATAACAGAGAGAGAAATAACTCACAATCAACTTCTGGAAAGAAGAAGAATATGTAATTCAAAGATTATTAAAAAGAACTATATGAAGGCAAAAAGAGGCACTAAGCATACCTGGGTGCGCTTATGCAGAGTGAATAATCAGCTTGAAGTCCCAGATGCAGACAGCTGGGTACTGCACTTGCTCCATCCGCTTCGTCAGGGGACCCAAGCAAGCAGCACCTTGGGTGTTCAGGGGAGAGGAAGACCCCTGATCCTCCCTCCTAGCAGCACTCAGGTTTTTTACAACCCTACTTCAATTCACAGCAGAGCAGAGGCTCAGATATGACTTGTCCCCATTTAGCACAAGGGCTCTGATATCAAGAGACTGACAGAGCTTTATTTCTTAGAATCCCAGCCTGGATTCAATTACAGAAAGCTTACATGAAGAGGAAGTGGGGAGAAGTTACTGCTGGTTCCCATTTCACTGGGGATATCCCTGATGCAGTAAGGGGAGTCAGAATTCAAGACTGGTTTGAATTGAAGGGACCTTAAAGCTCATCCAGCTCCAACCCCTGCTATGGACAGGGACCCCTTCCACTAGAGCAGCTTGCTCCAAGCCCCTGTGTCCAACCTGGCCTTGAACACTGCCAGGGATGGGGCAGCCACAGCTTCTCTGGGCACACTGTGCCAGCGCCTCAGCACCCTACCAGGGAGAAACTTCTGCCTAAGAGCTCATCTCAATATCCCCTCTGTCATTTCACGTGACCAAACCTTATGGGCTGGAGTTGAAATACCTGGAAATATCAGTTAATATTTCCTTAAAACCAGAAATAAAATCAGAAATCATTTGTTAATATAAAACATGAGCTCAGATACCAGCTGGTTTGATGCCAGCAGGGCAAAGCCACCACTTTCTCCCTTTTTGCTCTCTGAAGCCTGAAATAAAGTCTATTGTTATGTTTAATAGCATTTAAATAATAAAATATATTAATTTCAAGTAATATTTAGGTAACATTCGCATTGGACAACAACTTTCTTTCCAATACACAGTCACTGTCAGGTCTCAGGCTGCAGCCAGAGAAAGTCCTGTCGATCCCAGCACAGAATGCAGCCTTGGTTTAAGGAGTAGCATGTTTTCCAGGTGTCATGCTTCCAAGTATGCCTAGTCCCTGCTTTGTGAAGGTGCTATATCCACCCATCCTCATCAAGGTGCTATATCCACCCATCCTCATCAAGGTGCTATATCCAACCATCCTCATCAAGGTGCTATATCCAACCATCCTCTTCAAGGTGCAATATCCAGCCATCCTTGAATGCGCAATATCCAGCTACCTTCTTCTCCTCACCAGGGCAGGGTAGCCCTCTCCTTTCAGCTGATTAGGAATCATGAATGGACAAAGAGGAGAGGACTCTACTTTCTGCTTTCGTCATGGCATTCTTCATATCCACATTTCTTAGGCTGTAGATGAGTGGGTTCAGCATGGGGACAGCCACAGAGTACAGCATGGAGATCACCTCGTCATGCTTCGAGGAATGGCTGGAGACGCGGAGCAGGTACATGAAGAGGGAGCTGCCATTGTACAAAGCAATGGAGATGAAGTGAGAGGCACAGGTGAAGAAAGCTTTGTGTTGACCAACCACAGACAGCATTCGCATGACAGTGGAAAGGACCAAAAAGTAGGAGATGAGGATGAAGACCGCGGTGCTCAGTACCTTGAACCCCACCACGGCAGCCAACCATCACCTCGATGGCAGGGGTGTCAGAGCAGGAGAGGGCTAGCAGTGGTGGTCCATCACAGAAGAAGTGATGGAACATCTTGGAACAACAGAATGGGAGACGAGATATGGAAACCGTGTGTATGATAGAGCTGATCACGCCAGCTAAGCAGGCACTAGCCAACAACCCAATGCAAAGCCTTTGGGACATGACCATGGAGTAGGAGAAGGGGGTTACAAATGGCCATGTAGCGATCATAAGCCTTAGCAGCCAGCACGTAGCACTCGGTTGTGGCACAGGTTGCAAAGGAGAAGAGCTGGGTGGCACATCTAATGAAGGAAATCACCTTCTTCTCCACTAGAACATTGAGCAAGGCTTGAGGGATGATGTTAGAAGAGTAGCAGACATCCAGGAGAGACAAGTGGCTTAGGAAGAAGTACATGGGGGTGTGTAGGCAGGAATCCATTCTGATTAATGCAGTTACTCCCAGGTTTCCTATGAAGGTAACAGCATAGATGGCAAGGAATAAGACAAAGCACATCACCCACAGGTCTTCCCTGTTTGTGAAGCCCAGGAGAATAAACTCAGAGGGGGACATATAATTATCTTCAACCATAGTAAACCTATAAGCAGTTTGCGTGATTTATGTCTTTAAATTGAAATGCTGAATAGGCCCAAATCCCTCAATAATGTTAAGAATGTGAGGTTTTATCTATCAATCAGTTACACCACTTTAAGTCAATAGAAAGTTTGTATTTTTTATATACACACACA